AAAAAAAAAAAAAAATCCCAGTACAGAGAGCGCGCGATGAGTTGGTCACTTGAGGAACTTCAGCACATTCGGACTCCCTCAGGCGCGGGCCCTTCCCCTGCCCCAGCCCAGCGCCGGGTTGGACCCTCGGCCAGCAGCGGGCAGGGCTGCGCTGCGAGGAGCTCGGAGTGGGAGGGCGCCCCGCGGACCCGGGCAGGGTGGGCTCCGCCGGGCTCTGCCTGCCCGGGCGAGTGAGCCCCGGCCGGAGGGCGCTGCAGGTCGGGGCCAGACGCAAGGAGACCAACCCAAAAGAAAGGGAAGGGAAGCGGGGTCGGCTGTGCCCCCAGGACGCCCAGCCAAGCGGTTGTGGGGCGGCCTGGGCATGCACAGGGCTCCCGCGCCGGGGCCTGCGGCCAGCTCCCGTGGGATGCAGCATGGGAACTCCGGCGGGAGAGGGCGCACAAGAGCGGGACCAGGAGAGCTGCCCCAGGCCCCTGGGACCGCTCTGCCTCGGGTCCCCAGCCTGGAGATCCGGGCGTGTCCTGGGATGTCACTCTGCAGACCCACTGTCTGCTTTAACCACTTTGCTTGGTACAAAGTACCTCACCCCTGCAAGTCAAGGGCGCGGAGAGCGATTCGGTCCACGGTCAGATCAAAGGCAGGGGGCCCTGGCGGAGGACAGCCGCTCTCCTAATGGCAGCCAGGAAGCAAGAGAGGAAGCCTGGAAAGGGAGCTGCATCCACAGGGACCAGGCACCAGGGAGGCCCTCTTCAGCCGGACCCTCTAACACCTACCCGCGTCACTCACTGGCGCTGGCCGTTCCCTTGTCCCGCTGGCCAGGAACGCAGCGGCTTCCGCACGGTCACGATCCTTCCGCCACCTTTCACTCCCCACCCCTCACGTCACTGAATCTCAACTTTCTATAAACTGCAGGAAACTGGGTCGTGTTTTCCCCTCAGCCAATCTCTCTTTTGATTGGCTTTTTTTGTTTGTTTGTTTGTTTTTTTTCTCCGGTACCGGGAAGCGAACTCACGACCTTGCGCTTGCCAGGCAGGCACTTTTGCCGCTGAGCTAAATCCCCAGCCCCTCTTTTGATTGGCTTAGTTTGACCATTTACAGTTAATGTAATTGAAATGCTAAGGCAAGTGTCATTTTATTCGTTTGTTTGGTATGTCTCATTTTTGTTTACCTGCTTCTAGCATCCTGCATTTCTGTGTGCTGCTAGAACCTTTTAAAAGATCCTATCTTGATTTATTTAGTGCAGTTGAATTTATCTTTTTATATAGTTTTTCAGTAGCTGGTCTGGCTAGTATAATGTGCAATTTATCACATCTTCTGGTATCAATAATGTTTTTCTGTTTCAAGACAGGGCCTCACTATGTAGCCCAGGGTAGCCTCAAACTCGTAGTGATCCTCCTGCCTCAGCCTCCCAAGTGGTGGGATCTCACCACGCCTGGTTTGGTATCAACATCTTACAACTTGAGTTTATAAATGCTGGCCTCCCCAGCGTCGACCCTGGTTGCCCCTGAGACTTTGCCTTTAGTTCCCAGGAGTTTATCTTTCTTGTGATTGGTTTTGATTGCTGTTCCTGTTTGGAATTTATTCAGCTCCTTGAATCTAAAGATCTGTATCCTTTGGGGAGTGCTGAGCCGTTACTTCTTCAGCTGCTTCTCGGCGGCCGTCTCTCCCCTCCTGCTCATCCAGCTACTCCAGATACAGTGTCTTTTGCTACCGTCCTGCAAGTCCTTGTGGCCGCTTGTTTTAAACTGATTTCCGGCACATCGTGGTGGTGCATGCCTGTTAGGCCGGGAGGCTGTCGGGAGCACTGCTACATTGGAGCCCAGACCGGTAAACTCAGCTAGCCCCTGTCTCAAAGTTTAAAAAAGGGCCGGGGATGTTGCTCAGTGTGGCAGCTCTGGTTTCTATCCCCAGGGCCAAGAAAAAGTTGATTTTTACTGCATGGCTTCCTCCTGAACATAACTCTTCAAAGGTCTCAGGGCAGTGATCTTAAAATATACATTCATTCCCCGTACAGGAGACTGAACGCAGGGCCTGCACACTGCGCTACACCCCAGTCTTTTTGTATTTTTTCAGGCAGCGTTTCACTAAGTAGTTAAATTGCGGAGGCTGGCTTGAAGTCTGGTCTTCCTGCCTCAGCCTCCCAGTGTGGTGGGATGACAGACGTGCAATATCGCGCCCAGCAAACGTGGGAACCTATGACTGACCGGACTCGGGAGCTCTTAGGCGCACACGCGGACACGGGTGGGCAACGCACCCGCACGCACGCCCATACGCACCACACACCACACCCACACACGAACACGCATACCATGCACACGCACATACACCACGCATGCACGCACGCGGCGGACACACGGCGCCGGCCCCAGGCTCACAAGCGCAGCGTCTTTATTTCTCGGCAGAGATGCGTTAAAGCGCGGAGGCCGCCACTGTGCCCAGGCCGCGCGGCACACCCGCGGGCCCCCGGCTGGCTCCTCGCGCCGGCAGCAGGGTGCGC